GGAGTTGGTGGTGTGGAGTTGAGCGCCTCTTCGGCTCAGCTCTCCAGGGGCAGCCCGTCCGAGTGGGCGGTCCCAGTGGGCGGTCCCGGGGCTCAGAGCCCCGCCCCTCGCGGTGGCCCCGCCCCTCGCGGTGGCCCCGCCCCTCGCGGTGGCCCCGTCCCGCCCGCGTGGTCCCCCCCTGGGCCCTGGGCCCTGGGCCGTGGGAGTGGCCAGCGGAGGATCAGCAATCCCATCTTGGGCCAGACTTGCAGCGTGAAGGGGAGTCTGGTCAGAGGGGCTTCCATGCGAGCCTGCGCGGCCCCACCTCGGGCACTGACTCCTCCCAAGAGCGAGGGTGCGCCCTGGCTTCCCACAGCGGGGCCCACATCTCTGTGGCATAGGCCCTTGGTGCCAGCTGCGTCCTTCCTTGCTGCTGCCTATCTTCTTTATTTTCCTTATTTTTGGAGGGAACTTTGTGATTGCAGTGGGAGAAAATCAGCCCTCTGTGCTATGCCTCGGGCGTGGGCTCCTGCTCCCTGCTCACTGTGGTGATGGGGGGGACCGTGGGGCGCTGCCCTGCCAGCCCTGCCCTGGGGGCTGACATGCATTGCCAGAGCAACACTCTGAAGGAACTGTCCATTGCCACTGGCCAGGTGGATAAACTGAGGCACAGAGCGGACGTCAGCCTCTGGCGGAGCTGGATTTGCCCTGGGAAGGCAGACACTAACCGAGGAGGGACGCTAGAGGCTGAGCTGGAGCAGAGCCCACACCTGTCCCCCTCTGCCTGTCCCCCACCTCTGCCTGTCCCCCTGCCTGTCCCCTTATCTCTCTGCTTGTGCCCTACCTCTGCCTGTCCCCCCTCTGCCTGTCCCGCCTGCCTGTCTCCCACCTCTGCCTGGTTCAGGCCCCCCAGATCCCTGGCAGTCCCCTGGCTCTGGAGCTGATGTGCCAAGCCAGTGGCCGATCCCAACATTTGTCAGCACAGGCTTCAAGAAGGGTTTAATTAACTTCCTGTTTCAATGAGGATAATGAGTTTTAAATACCACATGACTGCTAAGGAGGTCAAACAGCAGCAAGGATGTGAAAATAAATTAAGTTACGCCTTGGGAGGCCACACTGGGGTGTCTGGCCACCCCAGGCAGGCAGCTGCTGTGGGTGCCCTGTCCCCTCTGTCTCTGTGGACCTGGAGCTCAGCTTTGCTTGGCACTGGTTCCCAGGCCTGAGGACTGGAGGCTGACTGCTGGCCCAGGCAGCCACATCTGCCCCTCTGGCTCAGTCTCTGTGGTCCTCTAGCGCCCAGAGAGCTCCCCGGAGGCTGCTGCATGCGCTCCTCCATGGCCCAGGACCACTTGCCAAGCGTGCTGGTGACAGGACATTATCTGATATTTCCTCATCTCTGTCGGGTGGTGACATCATTTGCTGCCTTCCTCCTCTCCTACCACCCCTCCTCTCTCTTCCTCAGTCCCGTCCTCCCCTGCCTTTCTCCCCACGTCCCTCTCTTCTGTCCTTCCAACTTTCCTTCCTTCTGTGCACCAGCAGTTGTGGAGCCAAAGTCTGCGTGCATCCTGTTGCCGTGGGCCACGGTGGAGAGGGAGGAAGACAGTAGAGAGAAGTTGTAGTTGGCATGGAGAGCTTGGGGGGGGCAGTGGCCCTCTGGTAGGGAAACTGAGGTCCAAGGGGCCTGGTAGCCTGAGGCCCTTGGTTTCCAGCCCACGCCCCCCAGCTGTTTCCTCACCACCCTATCAGACACCTGTCCTCCTCCGGGGCCAGGGGCAGCCCGGTGGGGCTCCTGGGGGGTGCTCTGGGAAGGCCCCTCCAGCCTCCTCTGTCTGGGAGCCCCTGGCAGGAGACCAGTGGCCTTGAGCTTCCACCCCCAAGGACATCCCCATGGCCAGAGAGGCAGACACTGCCCTGTGGGGAGGGGGCATGGCCTTGGCCTTGTGGGCAGAGAGAGGCTGTGTGGCTCACCGGCCGCCCCAGCTGCCGCCCCGGGGATGTTGGAGATGGAGCCCGAGAGCAGTGGGGGTTGACCTTCCTCACCTGTTTTTCCAGAAACTGGAGGATCGTGTAGGATGCACGTGGCCCGTGGCCAGTGACGTGGGCAGGGCCCCTCCCCGGAACCCGCAATCCCATCACCCTGGCACGGGCCCCAAGTGTCCTAGAGTCCCCCTGCAGCCCCTGCTCAGACCCTTCCACCCCTCCTTCCTGCAGAGGGGCTGGGGCTTGTAAGTCTGGGAAAATTCGTCTTCCAGCTCAGATTGTTCAAAAGCCCAGCCACAGGACGCTTAGGTGAGCGACCTGCTGCCACCACGCATCCTCTCCCTCCGGCCCTGCCCCGCCGGGCTGGCCGAGAACAGGTCACCACGACCCTCTGGTCCCCCACGTGTGTCACCCCCGTCCTCCCACCCCCATGCGTGTCACCCCGGCCCCCTCCTGTCCCCACACGTGTCACCGCAACCCTCCGGCCCCCACACGTGTCACCCCGGCCCCCACGCGTGTCACCCCGGCCCCCTCCCACCCCCACACGTGTCACCCCGGCCCCCCTCCCGGCCCCACACGTGTCACCGCAACCCTCCGGCCCCCACACGTGTCACCCCGGCCCCCACGCGTGTCACCCCGGCCCCCTCCCACCCCCACACGTGTCACCCCGGCCCCCCTCCTGTCCCCACACGTGTCACCGCAACCCTCCGGCCCCCACACGTGTCACCCCGGCCCCCACGCGTGTCACCCCGGCCCCCTCCCACCCCCACACGTGTCACCCCGGCCCCCCTCCCACCCCACGCGTGCCCCCCCCGCCCCTCCCACCCCCACGCGTGTCACCCCGGCCCCCCCCGCCCCCACACGTGTCACCCCGGCCCCCACACCCTTATGGCCCACGGGCACACAGCACTGCCTTCTCCCCTTTTCTCCCCTCCCCGCCTCCTCAGGCTGGGGTCATTAATGGGCACTGGTGAGGCCCTGGCCATTGGAGTGACTTTGTGTCTTCCCTGCCTAATTTGCGGTCATGGGGGCCGCTCCGTAGGGTGAGAGGGGCCTGGTGCCCCCCCCCTTGAGGACAGAGGTGCGGCCCCTGGGCAGGGGTCTGCACCATTTTCTCTCTGCAGCCCCTGCTCCCAGGCCCAGCTCACTGTTCCTCGGCTCCCAGCTCAACCGAGTCCAGGACCCCTTCGGGCCAGGTCCCTGACCCCCAAGGTACCTCGAGTTGCTTGCATCCGGATATGACATACAGCTGTACCTGCCCCACTGCGCCTGTGAGTGTGTGTGTGTGTGTGTGTGTGTGTGTGTGTGTGGTGTCCGCGTGGCCTGCCCCAGGGCTGCCCTTGCCGGCCGTCCCTCCGTGGAGGCCCGTCCCGGCTGGTGAAGGCTGCCACCTGGCGGCCAGGCTGGGGCTGTCCTGCTGTGGGTCTCCTGGCCCCAGGGCAGTTGGGGGACTCAGGGAGGGGACAGTGGGGGGCAGCAGTGCCGGAAGTCAGCGCCTGAGGGTCTGTGCTGGGCAGCGTGCCTGTGGAGGGTGTCCGGCCCGACCTTCTGCCCCGGCTGGGCAGAAGCACCTAGCAGAGCCTCCTCAGTACACTGAATGGGGGCGGGGGGGGTGGGCAGGGCTGCAGGCCTGTCTCGTCTCTAGCCTGTCTCCACCCAGGTTCTTCTCAGTCCCAGGTTCTCAGGGCACCCCACCTGCCCGCCCCCCCCCCAGTCCCAGAGGTAGCCAGGAGCCTTTGGGGTGGGTCCCCGGGCCCAGAATCACATGGTGTCTGAACATGAGCAACTAGATGGGGAGAGGCCTCACGGAGCCCCTGTGGGCAGGCCTCCCCTGCAGTCCGACCCCTGCCCTGCAGCAGACGTCTGTGAGAGGCAGCGGGCCAGCCATGGACAACGAGAGGCCAGAACTGTCCAGCCCCGTCCTGCGTGTCCCCACCAGCAGTGGAAGACAACCCTCCCGGGCTGAGTCCTGGTCCTCGGCGAGGGGCAGGGGTAAGGACAGACGCCACACAGCCGGGAGGCCTTCTGCGAAAATAGTGGGAATATATTTGGAAAGACGAGTGAGCTGTGAGTTTACAGTACGGCCTCGCGTCCCCACCTGTCTTCATCCACAGGGAGGCGGGTCTGGAAGGACCCGTAGCACCTTCTAGAGAGGCAGTTTGGGCCTGATTTAGAAACGTCAAAATAAAACCTTTTGGACATACACGTGGCAACCAAGCTAAAAACTGAAAAACAGCAACAGACCCCCAGACAAGCCAGGAGACCCAGAGGCCCCCAGGAGGCCGGTGGGGTGTCTCCTCCTTGAGCAAGATGGCACCTCGGGACGTGGGGAGACAGCCGTGCACGTGGCTGGGTCCCTGTCACCGCCGGGACCCTGGGGCTGGAGCCTGGCTGGTGAGGGAGCAGGGCTTCCCTCTGGTCTCCCTCCCCGCAGCAGCCCGGGGAGCCTGCATTCACATTACAGCGTGGAGTGTAGCACCAGAACCTTCAGAGCAGAGGAGTGGATTCTGAGAGTGGAGAGCCCATGTGGGAGGAAGGCTCTAGGGGGAGGGGTGGGGGAGGGGCACGGGCGAGGCTGGCCGGGTCCCCAGGTCTAGGTGCACTGGGAATGTTGGCCAGTAGGACCCTGTGGTCAGAGGGAGGGGGCCCGTTGGGCTCCTGGGGACCAGTGGGTCCTCCCCCACGTGGTTTCTGAGGTCACCGGAAGTCCAAGCGTGGAGCCGCCGCCAGCTGACCCGCCCTCATCACTGCCCTGCTAGGTAGTGGGGCCGTGTGCAAACCTTCACATGGGTTCTACAGCATAGGACGCCCGCCCGCCAGCACAGGCAGGGGCAGGAGCTGTTCTCTTCAGCTTCAGGGAAAGTAAGTGTCAAGATGGCAGCTTCACCGGCTCCAAGGGCTTCCGCTGGCCTGCCCCTGGGGTCCAGCCGCCGCCTGCCTCTGCCCTGAGCGGCCTCGGCGCCTGCCTTGGTCTGGGCGGGTGTGGGTAAGTCGGTGTCTCAGCAGGGAGCCGTGGCACGTCGGACGGCCGGTGTGCAGGCTCAGCTCCAGGCGGCGGCTCCGGCGGGCTCCTCAGAAGCGACCTTCTTCAGCGGGATCTTGAAGCTGGTCAGCCTCTGTCCGAAGAGCTGGCTGAGGAGGTGGCTCTGGGACTCAGCCGTCCGGCGGTCTCGGGGCTCAGCATCGGGGGCGTGTCTGCCCCTCTTGTGGGGTCTGGGCAGGGGGGAAGCCTTGCCCGGGGCTTCCTTCCTGGGCATGTGGCTGGGCCCCTCCTTCTGGTGTTCTGCTGGCTGGGGCCTGGTCCTGCCCATCTGGCTGCCCGTCCTGGGCCTGGCAGGGGGTACTCGGCTGGGCGTGGCCTGCTTCCGGGGAGCCCGGGGGGGCTTCTCAGGGGCGGAGGGGGCTGTACCTGAGCTCCCCACGTGGTTGCACCTGGCTGGCTCCGGGGCCTGGCCTTTCTTCTCCCTGGGGCCTGGACACCCCCGACGCCCCTGATGGCTGGCCTCTCTGGGGCTCTTCATGCAGCCCCTGGCCTGGGCTTGAGGCCTGGGCTGGGCTGGTGTGGGGCTCGGGCCGGGGCAGCCGGGCTTGGCTGGGGTGACGGCCGTCTCGCTCTGGAGCTGCCCACTGGCCGGCTGGGGCTGGCTGCCACCCCCTGTCTTGGTGCTGTGGCGTGACTCCCCACTGCCGTGGGAGCCAGGTCTGGGCTTGGCTTTGGGGGTGGTGGGCTTCGTCCCTGCGGGCTCGGGCCTCCCCCGCCCCACAGGCTTCCCGGGCCCTGTTGGGAGCTGGGGTGTCCTGTCCGGGGGTGAGCTGCGGCGGGGCTCTGGCTTGTGGGCGCGGTCCTTGTGGGAGAGCCTCCCCTCACCCCCCTCAGGCACCATGGGACCCCCGGGCCCCAGCTTCTTTCTGTGGGGCAGGGAGGGGTCTCCTGGAGGAGGGCCAGGGGCGCATTGGCCCCGGGTGCCTGGGCTCTGGCGTTTCCCTGACAGCAGGTGCAGAGTCCCTTTTCCCTCCTGGGGAGCTGGCTGCTTCCGTGGCCCAGGGCTGCCGGCTGGGGTGCCTTCCCTGGGCCTCTGCAGGGCTCGCTCCAGCCTTCCGCCACCTCTGCCATCAGCCAGGGAATCTGGGAGAGGAGACAGAGATCGGGGCAGAAGCTCTTGGCCATCAGCAGGCAGCCTGGCTTCCCTGACTGGGTGACCCACGGGGCTGGCGGGGCTGGGGGGTCTCTCTTGTGTCTTGGGCTGCCCCTCAGCGGTGCTGGACTCTACCTCCAGGAAGATCTGGGAAAGGAGCAGGAGGGAAGGCTCACTCAGGGCAGGGCTGCCTGGGGACAGGGGCCTGTCTGCCTTGCCGGGCCCTGGCTGGCCACTGGGCAATGCCACCCTGCTCCGCTTGCTAGGCAGTGTCCCCTCAAAGGCCGAGGCCTCCCACCCAGGGGCCCCATTCTGCTCAGAGGCCCCCGGCCGCCTGGCACCCCGGAGAGCAAAGGACAGCTGGCTGCTCCTCAGATGCTTGTCCATGTGCCGGTCAAACTGCTCCTTCTTGGCGAAGGTATAGTTGCAGGAACTGCAGATGAAGGACCTGCGGATGGCATGCGTGACGTTGGCGCAGAGCTCACAGGTGTACAGCGGCGTGTGCGGCAGCTCGCGCTCTTCCCTCAGCCCGTGCTCCCCGCCCAAGTGGGCCCGCAGTTCCCCGTGCTGGGCGTACACCCGCGGGCACCGGGGGCACAGGTAGACGCGCTGCGGGCTGTGCACCGCCAGGTGGCGCTGCAGCTTGAAGGGCTTGGGGAAGGGCTTCCCGCAGTGGTGGCAGTCCCGCAGCAGGTTCTTGCAGTCTCGGTGCACTGGGAGGGCCTGGAGCAGGTGCTCCCTGTGGGACCACGGGTCCGGGGACAGGCTTGGGGACATCTTGCCGGGGCCCGACAGGGTGGCAGAGGTGCCGGCTAGCGCAGACAGGCCGCCCCAGCCGGCTGACACCCCGGGAGGTGTCAGGGCTCTGTCGTGGCTGGAGGAGGTGCTGCACGGCCTGGGCGTTCCTCTTTCCCCCGGGGTCTCCTCGGCTCCCCCTTTCGGCCCGGGTGCTTCCCCGGGGCCCCCGGCCCTGAGCGATTCCGATGTCTGCTCCATGATGCTGTTCAGGAAGTGTGTGAAGGCGCTGTCCCCTTCCAGACACGGGGGCAGGTCCCCCGAGGGTGGCAGCGGCCGCCCGGCGAGCGCAAAGCGGGCTGCATGTTCTCCCAGGTGCTGGTTGTACGTCCACACGTCGGCCACCTCCTTCAGGCACATGCCGCAGGCCCAGGGGCCCGGCCCGGCCTGCACGTGCTTCTCCCGCAGGTGCTCCCAGAGCAGCTCCCTCGAGCCGAACCCGCGCTGCACGCACATGAAGCAGGTGTGGGGCGGCGCCGGCCCGTGCGCCAGCGCGTGCACGTCCAGCTCGCCCAGGCCGCGGAAGCGCTGCAGGCACAGCGGGCACTCATGGGAGGCCTTCCTGCCCGGCGCGGCCCGGCATCCGCCTGGCCCTCGGCCTGCCCCTGCCACCGCCTCCCTCCCCCTGCTCCCTGGGCCCTGGGCATTTGCTGCGGCCTCGAAGTCCAGCAGACCCGGGCTGAGGAGGCCCGCAAGGTCGTCGCAGGAGCCCAGGAAGCGCAGGTCTTGTATCTCTAGCTGCGAGCCGAGCACCTCTAAGCCCTTGGCACGCAGGGGGAGCAGGCCCGAGTCCCCAGGGAGCCCGTCATCCATGTGCTCCCTCTCTAGGTTTGGGGGCTCTGGGCTCGCATCCCCAAGCGAGGAAGGGGTCTCCTCGGGGCCCCGCAGCTCCAGGCTTCGCCAGGCCGCTGGGACCATGTGCAGGCGAGGGATGGCCTCCGGCCACTTCTCCTCCCCCTCCTCCTCCTCCTCCTCCTCCTCCTCCTTGGAGAGGGGGGAGGGCCCCTCCTCCACCCTGCTGGGCTCCAAGGTCCACAGGCCGAGGCTGGGGGGCCAGGGGTCAAAGCCAGGCACCTGGGTCAGAAGTCCATCCGTGAAGAAGGGCTCGGGAAGGCCCACGACCTCGTTGTGGTCATCCCACAGGTCTTCGTGGGAGAGGCAGAGGGAGCCTGAGTCACTGAGGTCTGTGGGCAGCCGGGGGGAGGCTGGCGGGGGGCGGTCCTCCGCCCTGCTGGGGGGCCGGGCGGGCAGGGGCTGCTGCGGCCTCTTGCAGCACTTTCCGTAGACCCGGGGGCTCTTCTTCCTGGCCAGGCGGCCGCCCAGGGGGAAAAGCTGTGAAAAGGACTGCTCGTCATCAAACATGCTCACAGGGTCTCCGCGCCCCAGGCTGGGGACTCGGGCGGCGGCGCCTGCAGGCTCCAGGGCCCCTCCCCCGGTGTCCGGGGTGGCCGGGAGGCTTTGGCCAGCAGTGCTGCCCGCTGCAGAACCGGACGCCTCAGGAGGGCCCGGGCCACCGTGCAGTCCTCCCTGGGCGCTGCTGCGGTCCCCCTGTGGGCTCCCGGCAGCCTGCAGAAGCGCTCTGCGGATGCCCAGGTCCCCAGCCTCGCGCGTGGCCTCCAACTGCCCAGCCGTGACTTCCTTCGGCCCCACGGGCCGGTCCTGCGGCAAGCCGCCCTCCCACCACCCTGGAGGGGACCTTGGTGGGCCCAGAGGCCCCAGGCCCCGGTCTGCGTCGCCATCCGGTCCCTGGGCCTCCGGTGCTGAGCGAGGCAGAGGGCCCACAGCGGCCGCCCGCTGTCCCTCCTGGCCGCTCGCAGGATGATGGCCGGTTGCTGTCGGCAGATCTGAGTGGGTGAGGCCGGTGGAGCCATAGGCAGAAGCTTGGGGACTGCCCAGCTCCCGGGGTCTCCCTGCCCTCGGTGCCCCGGCTTGCTTCTTTCGTGTCCTCTCCGGGTTACGGAGAGCAGCGGTGGGCTCGCCCGCTTGCCTCCGGCCTTCTCTTCGCTCTGTCTTTCTGGCGTGGAACTTGTTGGCCTCCAGCGGCCCTGGTCTACTGGGCTTTGCGGCCGGGGTGTTCACGCCCTTCCGCTGTCCGCTTGGGCCGGAGGGGGGCTGCGGCTGGCTGAGGGGCGCGCCGGCCCCCCCGGGCCCCCTCTGAGGAGCTGTCTCTGATGTCTCAGCACCCAGCATGTCCGCAGGGCAGTGGCCGGGGCGGTGGCCGGGGCCCGCTGGCGGGGACCTTGGCCCTGACTTCCCGGGTGCCCTGTGGCCTCTCTTCCGGGGAGCCCTGCGTGTTTGGGCGGTGGGCTCCAGGGCTCTGGGGGCGCGCGGGGGGCAGGCAGGCTCCCGGGGCCCGTGCTTCCTGGCTCGGTGTCTGCTCAGGCCAGCTACGGTGCAGAAGCGGGCAGAGCAGACCTCACAGGTCACTGGCGGCTCTGCGGGGGCCTGGCCTCTCCCCTGGCCTTTCTCCATAGGCTCAGCCTTCCTTTTAAAGCCACGGGGCCTCCGTTTGGGACTGAGGGGCCTCCGTTTGGGACTGAGGGGCTTCCGGGAGACACCGATGAGGTTCGGGGGAGGGTCCCCGGCGGAGGCATCTTGGGACTGCGGGAGCCCTGGGGGGGAGGAGCTGGCGGTGGGGCTTCGGGTGCTGGCTCTGGGTATCTCTGCCACCGCACATGCGATCCCGCCTGTGCCCGGGCCTCCCTGGCTTCCGCCGCCAGCCGCCACCTCGGCTTCCAGGCTGGGGCCCGACTCTGTGGTCCCCGGCATGGCAAGGTCCATGGGTAGAGTGGAGGTGTCCGGGCCGGGGGTGTTCCTCGGGGGGCCTGAGGCAGGGCCCTCGGGAGTCGGGTCAGCGGTGGTGGGCAGTGGGGCCCCCCTGAAGTGGGGGTTCGGCGCCACCGGCCCCCTAGGGGCCTCTGTGCCCTCTTGGGTGGGAATGCCTGACAGGCCAGCAGCCCGGACAGCCGCGCCTGGAGAGACAGCCCTCCTCGGGGGAGGGGCAGTATCGTGGGCAAGTGTCCTCCCCAGCTCCTCTCTTCTAGAATCTTCTAGAGTCATCAGTGTGCCGTCACCCCCGTGTCTTGTGGGGCCTAAGGTGTCCGTGAGGCCAGGCTGGCCTGTGGGAAGGTCCTCGGGGCCATTAGCCGGCAGGACGCAGTGGCGAGGCAGGATCCTGGCAGGATCACGGTGGCTTCTCATCCAAGACAGGGGATCCCTTGTGGGGGGCTGGGCACGGTTTGTTCCTTCCAGAGGCATCGGATGTGGGGGGCTGGGAGGGTCCCTCGGCTCCCCTGCGGCTACTGCGACTCGGGGCGGGGCGGAGGGAAGATCTCCCCGGGGCGGGAGCTGTGGGCCACGGGAAGTGGGGGTGGCCAGGGAAGTGGGTGCAGGGGCACACATGTCCGGGTCTCTGGGGGCGGCTGCGGGTCTCTCACCACCATGAAGCGGCTGCCCGGCAAGGCCTGGGCTGGTCACGGTCTCTAGAATTCTGCCTTCAGCCGCTGCGGGGCCCGAGGAGGTGGGGCCTGGGGGGGCCCTGGCCTGCTCCGGGGAGCCTGAGCCCGCCCTGCCTCCCTCCCGGCTGCCTGCGGGGCCTTTGGGACTGGTCAGGAGCTTGGTGAGGAGCTGTGGTTCTCTGGAGCCTCTCTGGTTACCCGACCGCCCCGGGCTGCCTTCTCGCTGGGCCTCAGGCTTCTCAGTGCAGCCTGGCAAGTCCATCTGTCCATCTGCCTCGGGCTGGTGTCCGGGCACCTCAGGGACAGCTGTGCTCTGGGCAGGCTGTGGGGAACCTCCTTTCTCACGGTCTCCTCCTCCATCCGAGGGGCCCCTGGGGCGTGGGCCCTGGGCACCCCCAGCTGGCTGCCCAGGGGGGGCCTGGGTGTCTTTTGTGTCCCCACCTCTGATGCCTAGGACCGGGAGTGGACAGACGTAGCAGGAGGCTGGGTCCCAGGGCCTCCTGCGGGGGCCCGAATCAGGCACCCAGGCAGGACTCTGCACAGGGCAGAACTGAGGGACAGGCTGGGGGGGCCCGGCTGGTACCAGGTCTTCACCTTCGAAGCCAGACTCCTCTGCCACGGGGTGGTGTGTGGCTCTCTCTGGCTCCCCTGCTCTGCCCGGAGAGGGGGTGTGGGGGCAGGCGCTCGGAGGCGGGGCTGTGTCTGCAAGTGCTCCCCCATGACCCCAGAGCGCCACCTCGGGCGTCACGTGTCCAACCGGTTCTGGGAGACGGCGGTCCCGCCGGGGCTGCCCGGCCTGGCAGGGCGGTGGGGGAGCCCCTCCCCGGGCTGCGGACACCTTGCTTTGCATCGGGGTAGTTCTGTTGGTTTTAGGAAATAAAAGTTCACCGTTGGGTTTGCCCTTGGCTGAACTCCCGGCATGGGGCGGGGGTTCCTCTCGCGTGCCGGGGTTGGGCAGACGGCCACCTGAAGGGCGCCTGCTGCCCCTCTCCATCTGGGAGACACCAGCCTCCTGAGCGGCCCGAGAGCCGAGGCTGTCCGTGGAAGGGTCAAAAGGAGCCCCCAAAGCTGGGGTAAAGTCAGTGCCGGGAGGAGAAGTTGCGCATCCTGTGTCTGGACAGGGCCATTGGCCGTGGGGACTTCTGAGAGCCTCTTCCCAGCGTGGGCTCGATTCCCCCAGCCCGGGAAGGCCAACTGCCAGGAGTGCGGCCCTGGGAGGCAAGGCGGCCTGGGGGGCCGGCCCTGGGCCCGGGCCGGGTCGGCGCCCGTCTGCCCCCGCGGCCTCCTCAGCCTCTCCGGGGATCACGTGCACGCCCGCTCTTCTAGGCAGCTGGCTTTCTAATTCCGTGACCAATCTTTTGATCTCTAGTTCGTCCTCCCACAGATCGCTCGTGAAGGCAGTGCTGTATTCGATTCCCTTCCCGGGCACGGGGGCAGGGCTGGGAGGGAGCGTCCCTCTGCATGGAGGCCGACGCGGCTGCCCGCACGCCTCACCCGCGGGGAGGCCCGGACGCTGGCTCGGCAGCACGGGGGGCTCCGCTTCCAGCAGCAGAAACGAGGGGCAGAGGGCGTCCGTCAGTGGCTTCCCTGGGAGGGGGCTGGTGTGAGCCAGTGGCCTGTGGCTGTCCCTGTTTGCAGCCAGGTCGAATCCATCCTCAGGCGGCCCTGAGAAGAGGGACATAGTCGCCAAGGCCAGGGGTGACCGGGCTCTGTCCAGGTCCCTCTCGGCTGCACGGTGGGCGCTCTTTGGTGGTTCTGGTTCATGTGGCTCAAAGGTATCCACTCCCTCTGAGCCAAGGTAGGAGGGGCTGCTGGTGTGGACAGCTAAAGGGCCGGTGGAATACAGGTCTTCAGGAGGACAGCCGGCCCCGTCCGTGGGTGTGTGGGCCCAGCCTGGGAGGGCTCCGCTGTCGGCTCGGGACCCCTTTGGGGCAGCTGGGACCCCCGTGGAGTCTCTGTCAAAGTGCGCAGGATTACAGCCAACTGCAGAGTCCTTCACACACGTGACGCTTGGCTGAGGGCGTGGAGCGGCTGTGGTGTTGGCAGTGGGCACCGGGCCACTTCCTGGCTGGGTGGAGCAGGCCTCTCCGTCCTGGCCCGTGCAGAGCTCTGTGCAGGCAGAGGCGTTCAGCAGGGCTCTCACACTGGGTGTGGACACCCCCTGGCCGGGCAGCGCGTGGGTGCTGCTCCCCGATGGCCTGTCCCTGTTGGGCTGGGGACCCCTGGGGCTCTCCTTCCCCTGGGGCGCTGGAGGACTGGTCACCTCTCCGGGCTTCACAGTGTCAGGGCGTACGCTTGCAGCCCTTTCAGGTTTTAGGGGCTCCGGAGTGAGGCCCAGGGACGGCTGGGTTTCCTCTAGGGGCTCAGTACTGGCAGGAACCACTGGTGTGCGGTCAGAATGCTCAGGGCCTTTTTCCACAGGGGTGTCTCCAGCGTCCAGGCTTTGTCGTGGGCTGTGTGTCTCCTCTGGGTTCCCAGCCTCCTGCCCTGTGAGCTCCTGGGGGCCCCGGGTTAACTTTTCTTCCCTTTGCCTGTGGGCTCGGTGGCCCCGCCGACGGCCAGGGCGCGGGCGGCCTCTGGAGCCTGGACCCTGCGGTGGGAGGCCTTCCTCCTCCTCGGAGTCGGAGGTGCAGCCCTGCACCCCGAGGCCGCTCTCCCGGGCACTGGGCCGGAGCCGTCCGGCAAGCGGGGGCCCCTGCGCCCCCCGGCCGTGTGGGGCGTGCTTCCGGTAGCGCTTGTTTTTCTGCTGGACAATCTTGTGGATGAACTCTTTGCTCCACGAGCCGCCCCGCACCCTTCTCTTCCTGGGGTCCTTCCCGGGGGGCAGGCGTGGGCGTTTGGAGCTCCTGGTCCCTGCAGGGACCTGCCGGTCCGAGTCTGCAGGGCCCTTGCCAGGCTGAGTTCTGAGGTCCCTGGGGCAGGGGGCCACCCGGTCGGCACTGCGACCCCTCCGCCTCGGTCTCAGGCAGATGGCCCTGGCCGGCCCTTTGGTGCTGCTATTGGCCATGTCCAGGTCTTTCTGGAACAACTTCAACTGCTTCCCTCTCCTCTGCGGCCTGGCGGGGCTGACGGCCGACTCTGAGGCGGCCAGGCTCAGGGAGCGGGTTTTGGGCCTGCTTGGGGCTGGCCAGTTTCTGTCCCCAGGGCCGGGGGTTCGGAGCTCTGAGGCAGCGGCGGGAGCCGCGAGCAGGGACGGGACGTCGTCCTCCGGAGTTGCTCCGGCCCGGGAGCCGGGGGGCTGCCCGGGGCCAGCCGCCCTGGAGCTGGACGGCTCCTCGTCTGCGAAGACATCAATGAAGCTGCTGTCCAGCTCCGGGCTGTCGGCCTGGTACTCCAGGCCGTTGAGCGCCTCCGTGATGAGGCTGTCCAGCTTGGCGTCGTCTTCCAGGTCCAGGTCAGAGGCAGGGAGTGGGAAGGGGGCCGTGGCCAGGCCGGGCAGGAGGCCTGTCCGCAGGGGGTCCTCTCTGCCCTCCGCCAGCAGGAAGGGGGCCGCCTGGCTGTGGCTGAGTGGGCCGGGGCCCGTGTCAGCAGGCACTTTTGGGGTGGCCCGGGGCGGCCGCAGGCTGCAGAACTGCCGGTGCTCCAGGAAGGCGGCCAGGCTGCTGTAGTTGCAGTCACACTGCCGGCAGGTCAGCAGCACGTCCAGCTGGTCCAGGCTGGCGCTGCTCAGGGTGAGGTACGGGGCGGGGCCCTGAAGGCGGTCCTGCGGCCCCGCCCCGCCCGCCCCCGGCCCCTCCTCCAGACCCTGGAAGGTGCCCTCGGTCCCCAGCCCGTCATCCCTGAAGGGGAAGGCCTGGTAGTGGGTGGCGAGGGCTTGGGGCGGCTCTGGGGACGGGAAGGGGCTGCAGGTCTCCTGGGAGTGGGCAGGGGCGTGGAAGAAGGCTGAGGCCTGGAGCGAGCCGGGGAGCTGGCTGTCCTCCGAGCTGGGGTTGGCGGGGCTGCTGGATGGCGGGGACAGGGAAGAGCATGTGCTGCTGCCCGTGGTGTGGGTGGCAGGCGAGGGCAGGGGAGACTCGCTGGGGGAAGCCCCCACCACGCGAGGCGGGGGCAGGCCAGGGGCCCCTCGGGGGGACACCTGGGGCTGGGTTCCCCCAAAGAACGGCGGCAGAGCCCCAGGGTCGTTCGGCCTCTTGCAGCTGAGCAGGCCCGGGGAGCCGCCGGGCTGGCCTGGGCTGAGGCTCGCGGCTACCAGGGATTCCCCAGGACTGGGCACCGTGCTGGTGGAGCCCGGGGCCCCCTGGCTGTCCCCGGGCCACTTGGGGCCCCCCCCAGAGAATGGTAGCTGGCTCAGCACCCCCATCTGATGGGGGTTCGGCCCGGAGGTTGGGAGTACTGTGGGCCAAGACATGGGGGTGCGGTGGGGCAGGCAATACTGCTGGCCGGGGTGGAGCTGGCCTTCGAAGAATGCAGTTTTCACTGCTGCCGGCAGGCCCGGGGCCCGGGCCACGTAGGGCACCGCGGGGTCCCACAGCGGGGGCAGTCTGCTGGCTGGGGGTCCGGGGACGGGGAGCTCTGTGTCCGGAGGCCCTGGGCTGGTGTCCACCCCATTGGCCCCGTAGGACTTCCCTGCGAAGTACTTCAGGGGCAGAGGGTTTGGGGGGCCCCTGGGGAGGCCCAGCCCTTTATGGGCAGAAGGGGGTCCTTCAGGAAGGACTTTGGTCAGGCTCTTGTGCAAACTGTCTGGGAAGGGGTTTGGGGACGAGTGAGCAGCAGCAGAGGGGGAGGGCACCCCTTCCAGGGTGCCAGGGGCCTCGTGGCCGGCCGTCTGGCCGGGGTAGCCGGGCAGGAGGCTCTGGGCAGGCCGAGAGGGCGGCAGGTAGGCAGGGCCGGGGGCCCCGGCGGCCTCAGCCCACATTCCCACGGGCGGGTGGAAGGTCAGCAGCAGCGGCCCCGGGGCCGGCTCCCGCCCAGCCAGGCTTCCAGCGAAGGCCTCGGTGTCAGCCCCGGGCGGAGAGCGGGCCGGGACAGGGTACCCAAAGGGGCTCCCCCTGGGACTGCCAGGCCTTTTGCTTTCAGGAAAGGGTTCCAGCTCAGCGGAGGGGACCCCAAAATGAACACCTTGGAAGTTGCTCTCAGCAGCAGTGGGCCAGAGGCTGGGCACTTGGGGCTGGGGCTGGCAGAGGGAGGCGGGTCTGCGGGGGCTGGTGCCTCTGCTCTGGGGGGTCCGAAGGGGCGGAGGCCCAGGGGTGCTGCGTGGTGAGGTGCCGTCGGTGGAGGTAAAGCTGGAAGGGGCCTCCTGGAAGCTGAGCTCCTCAGGGACGGGCAGGGACCTGGCCCTGGGCAGGCTGGGCCTGGGCAGGCTGGGCCTGGGCAGGCTGGGCCTGGGCTGGGCTGCAGTCCCTTGGCCCTGGGGGGCCTCTGCCTTTGAGGCGTGGGAGGCCTGGTCCGTCCCCAGGCTGTAGGGTGGTGGGGGGCTGCTGGCTGCCCGGCTGGCCGGCCACGTGTGAGCGGGGGTGTGGCTCCTCCCTGGTGGGACCCGAGAGCCGCTCTCCTTCCTGGGGGGGCTGCCCAGGGCCTGGCCCCTCAGGCGCGAGGCCTCGGACTCTGCCTCCTCAGCCTGCCTCAGGCAGGCCTTGGGGGGCTCCCTGGTCCGGGCTTTGCTGCCCGTCTCCCTTGTGTCCAGGGGGCCCCTGCCGGCCGGGGAGCGGTCCTGGAGGGCGTGCGGGGAGGGGCCTCCCAGACCGCGGGCGACTCGGCAGGGCGGCAGGTCCGTGGTCAGGCCCTCGGGCGGTGCTCCGCGGGGCTGCTCCCCCGGCATGGCAGCGTTGGATGCTAGGAGGAGGCGGCTGTCTGAGGGGGGCGGTGGGGGGTGGGCCGGGCAGCCCTCCTCAGCCCTCGGGGGGGCCTGCAGAGCCTGCGCGCATGGTCCCGGGAGAACCCTGCAAGGGAAAGTCAGCTGTGAGCCGGGGTCGCGGGGCGGGAAGCCTGCTCGCGCCCTGCAGGGGCCTTGTGCGGGCCGGGGGTCGCGGGGGCTGGAAGCCTGCTCACGCCCTGCAGGGGCCTTGTGCGGGCTGGGGGTCGCGGGGGGCTGGGAAGCCTGCTCGCGCCCTGCAGGGGCCTTGTGCGGGCTCGGAGCCCCTCCCTGCTCCCACAGACCTGAAGACACTGATGGGGCACAGGAAGCTCAGGGAGGGGGCAGACTCAACCCAGAGCGGGCTCAGGAGTCCCGCCTCGCATTCCGACAGGCCTGTGCTCACATAGAGACGCTCACTGCAGAGAAGGCTGGGTCTCCTGCTCCTCAGTCACCGGCTGGGGCCTGTCCTGCCTGCAGGTTGGACAGGATGACCCCAGCTCACCGGCAGGGGGCGCATCCTGCTGCCAGGCCCCTGCCTGCGGCGGGCACACGGAAGGGCAGTGACTTGCCCAAGGCGTCTTTCAGGGAGACCCTGCTGTCTTGGAATACTAGAGACTCAGGAAGCAGAGATCTAGAGGACCACAGTAGAAGCCAGCCCAGGTAGAAAAGTCTATGAGACACCATCTCCACAAAAGCCCATCAAAAAGCCAGGATGGAGGTGTGGTTGCAGTGACGGAGCACTCGTTGAGCAAGTAAGCTGAGCCAGCCCGAAGCCTTGAGTTCAAATTGCAGTACCAGAGAAAAAGGGCCTTGTGGTGGATGCAGTTCTGGGACTGCTCAGCAGAGGGCAGCACCACACCCTCCATCAGCCAGGAGGGGAGCTGGGTGGGTGGGGGCTTTGACTGGGGCGGAGGAGGAGCTGGGGTCTGGGGCAAGGTGGGTTCCCCCGACCCTGTGGCAGTCAGGTGGGGGTTCCCTGGGCCCCGACCCCAGGCCACGGCCTCCATCCGCCCAGCTCAGCCTGTGTTCCAAACCGCGGGGGAGGGGAGGTTGGCGGGGACGGAGAGGGAGGGGGGAGGGGGGAGGGCTGGGCCCAGCCAGGGCTGCCGGCCTCCGTCCACGCACCTGGGGAGGCGGGGCCCGCACTGGCGTGCCGCACAGCTACTTGAGGACTGGGGTTTTCTTGGCTGCAAAGAAAGCAGAGGGCGTATTAGCACTGCCACTGTGCGCGTGCGCGCCTTGCTGTGGCCAAGGCCCCGGGAGGGGACGGAAGGAACCTCAGCGGGGCCAGCAGGGCCTCCCCTGCCCGGTGGAGGCTGGTGGTAGCTCTGCCGGGCTGGAGGCCCTGGACAGGGCCGGGGTACTGCAGTGGAATGATCTTGGCCCCCTGGGCCCTGCAGGGGTGTCCCCCCTGATTCCCCAGGAGCCGGGCATTTCTCTTCTGTTCTTGTGGCGTGGGGCGAGCCCAGGCTCTTGCCAGGCAGGCCTCTCCCTCTGGACCACACCCCAGCCCTCCAGCCCCCGTGGGGGGAGGCAGCAGACACCGGCTCCCACGCCTTCCTGCCTGGAGGGGCACCCGAAGACCCTGGCGGTCCGGTCACAGAGCGGCAAGCGGACCTTCCCTAGTGATGGGCGGCGGGGCCTGGAGGGGACCTCCACGAGGACGTCATTCATTCACTCACTCACTCATTCACAAGCTCACCTCCCGGTTGTTTGTAACCTTCACCGAACAGAAAAGAAATCGAGGCAGCAAATAGCTACAGACAAGGAAAGGAGGCTCAGGGCTGTGGTGTGAGTTGCCCGAGGCTGTGCGGCAGTGCCCAGCCACACAGGGAACTGCAGGCAGACAGCCTGAGCCTCGTCCAGGCAGGCCGGGGTCTGGCTGCACAGCCCTGGCCCCCTCTCCTCACCACCCTGCTGGCCCCGCCCCTACGCATGGTCACCTTCCTCTGGCCTCGGTCTCTGGGCCTCCATGTTGCCTGTAGTAACCCAGGGGATTGGGTGCCAGCCGCAGCTTCTACCCAGAGGGACAAGGATGAGGGGCAGCGCGGGCACTGTGCACCCATGCTTCGATTCTGGCCCCAGCCGGGCTCTTGGCGAAGCCCGCGGTGCTGCCACACCGGTGTGCATTTCAGTGGCAGGGGCCCCTTTGAAGTGGGAGATCCGATCCAGGAGCCCCAGGGGAGTGGAGTGGCTCCCGTCCTCTCAAAACCAGGACTGGGCCCCTCTTGGACAGGCTGCCTGGACCCTGGGTAACTCGGGACTGTGGTCAGCTGGTGGATGGGCCACCAGGGTGCCCAGCTGGAGGATGGGCTGTGCCCGGGGCCTGGCTCCTCCTCTGCCCTCCCCTCCCTTCCCCATCCACCCTTTTCCTTGGGGCCTCGCTGCCCTCTGGAGTAGAGCGGAGCCTCCTTCCTCCAGTCCTCCCTTCCTGTCCCGGGCAGTCCTTCCTCCAGACCCCCGCCCTCCTTCCCCACTGGGTACGGCTGGGGCCAGCTGGACCAGCGTCTGCTCCCCAGCTTCACGGCGGGGTCTCAGCCTTGTCTAGATCCCAGGCCTGGCCTGGACGCTATTGGAGCAGACAAGTTCAGAGGCCTCAGCAAGACCTGTCTGCGGAGGGGCCGTGAGGCCCACAGGGCCGCTCAGGGACCTGCCGCGCACCCCCCCCCCCAGCCAGCACACAGGAGAGGCGCGGGCGGGGGCAGCGGCATCCGCGTGCTGAAATCACACTGCGCTCCAAGGCGCACGGGTGGGACGCGGGGCCGATGGCACGCACACTCACACGCTCTCCTCCGGGTCCCGTTCCCCTCAATCCCTTAGCTACCCCACTTTCCGATGGGCAAGGAAATGGGCATGACGCGCGGTCGCTCACCCAGGCGGTGCCCTGCGGGCAGGCGGGCGGGCGGGGCCTGGGCCTTGGGTGCCCGTGGCTGGCTGAGACAGAAATCAAGGGGAAGGGTGTCCAGGGTGCTGGGGCCTGGCCTTGGACCGGGGTCTCTGGAGCTCAGTGTTGGGCGGTTGTCCAGAGGGTACACAGTGCCAGGCATGGCCTGGCTGTATTTCTGGCTGGCTCACGGGAGGCCACGGTACCAGGGACACTGTGGGCATCTCGGGGCTCTGTGGACACCAAACACAAGGCTGGGCTCCTTGGCCTCCCCTTTGGTTTTCCCAGGCCCCATCCTGGACATCCACAGGGAACTAGAAATCTGCCGCACTGGGCGCACAGGTCCACTCACAAGCTGTGGGGCAGGAGCGTAGAGCTGCCGGCCAGGCAGAGCCTGGAGCTGGGCAGAGCCTGGAGCTGGGCAGAGCCTGGAGCTGGGCAGAGCCTGGAGCCGGGCAGAGCCTGGAGCCGGGCAGAGCCCAGAGCCAGGCAGAGCTGCAGGCCGGGCAGAGCCTCGAGCCTGGCAGAGCCCAGAGCCAGGCAGAACCAAGCAGAGCTGCTGGCCGGGCAGAGCCTGGAGCTGGGCAGAGCCTGGAGTCGGGCAGAGCCCAGAGCCAGGCAGAGCTGCAGGCCAGGCAGAGCTTCCAGCCTGGCAGAGCCCAGAGCCAGGCAGAGCTGCAGGCCAGGCAGAGTCTGGAGCCGGGCAGAGCCTAGAGCTGGGCAGAGCGCTGGCTGGGCAGAGCCTGGAGCCGGGCAGAGCCCGGAGCCAGGCAGAGCTGCAGGCCAGGCAGAGCCTCAAGCCTGGCAGAGCGCTGACTGGGCAGAGCAGCTCTGCTGGGCATGGCCGCCAGGCTTGCACCGCGCTCTCAAGCCCGGGGTCAACTGGAGCCTGCTGGGCCCAGTTTGGCCCACTCTGCGGAGCCCCACGCTGACCCCCAGCCGCCCACCCTGGCGGGGTCCACTGGGTCCCCGTGCTGGGCCCTGCGGCCTGCGCGGAGCCTGCTCCCCCCTGGCTTGGCAGGGCCCCGCCAGCTGGCCACTCCGAGCAGGTGAGGCTACGCCCTGGGCACCGGCTCTGCTGGCCGTGCCACTGAGGCCAGCACGCACGTGGGGCTCAGCCGTACCTGCCCCCCACCACGGCGACCCTCAGCCTCCGCATCCACCCTGTGCAGAGTGGCCTGGAGGCCGGGCTGCCGAGCCACGGCCCTGACACGGCGCCGGGGCCGGGGAAGCTGACCCCGCCTGGACGTCCCCGTTCCTCTTCCTTCAAGCGAGGCCGATCCCCTGAAACGCCGTTACCTGAGTGCTCCGAGAAAGCGCGGCGGGTAAAGTTATATCTAAGGTAGAGCCCAGAGGGGAGGCGCAGAGCCCATTACCTGGTATCAGCTGCATTTATCTTCATTTCTCAGTGAAGGAGGGCTGGCGGGGCTGGCTGGGGGGGTGTCTGCCACCTTATCAGGTGAATATTTGAGGTCCTTTCACAGCAGGGAGGGGGCGGGGTGCTGTCGTCCAAGATGGCAGCATGGTGGCGGGGGGGGGGGATTCCTGGCGGGGCGCTGCCGCCCGCCCCAGATGGCCGGGGGCTGGTGCCCAGCACCGGCAGGTGCCAGCCATCACCTCCTGGCCCTTGGTGCCACTGTGGTGTGACAACCCTCCCAAGGGAGCCGTCGCTCACCCGTCAGCCGTCCAGAACGCCAGGACCCTGCTCAGGGCCTGCAGCCCCCTGAAGTCAGCCTTCAGAGCCAACTGCATGCCACCGCGGCCAGGAAGACCTCCTGAACTCAAGCTGGGGCCACCATGGCCTGGCAGGGGGAGCCGTGTCCGTCCTCCGGGGACGGGTGGCCCCCCGGGGCCTGCAGCCCCGTCCTCCCCACAAACAGCAGCAGACGGGCTGTGTTGGAAGCAGCAGGCCGCTGGCCCACCAGCGCGGTGAGCGCCTGCTGGTGCTGCCCACACAGCCCGAGGGTTTCCCCCCTGCGCGGGCTCTGAGCCACGATCGTCGGATCTCAGCCTCCTGAGTAGCTAGGACTACGGGAGTGAGCACAGTGCGGGGCTTGGCGGAGCTTTCTCCGTTCAGGCC